ATGGAAATGGTCATTGCTAACTTAATTTGGGAAACCCCCATATAGTAACTTAAACTAAGTTCCTTAACAGCAACCCGGCAAAAAAGTGTCCTAAAGCGGGACCACCACTCACAGCCTCCTTCCTCCGACCAGACATGAGGAAAGAAGTCCTGAAAAGTCATTTGAACGTCCATTTAGGGTTTAGGGTTTAGGGTTAAACCTGAAACCTCCCAACTCTACATGCTCTAATAGGCCCCCCCCCCCCCCAAACCCACAATCCGAGGCCCTGCCTCGAGTCCCACGTTCGACAAGTTGTGTAGTAAACCTCGAAATCAGCTAATAAACCTCAGGTAGGGTGTTGGGTTTAAGGTAACCCCCCATATTTTGGATCTCTACCCTATCCCAGGGCTATGATGCAGCCATCAGCTGGTTTGATGCAGTCATCAGCGGGTGCAACCACGCCACCTTTGTCGCAGCCCAAGGCATGAGAGTTAGTGTCTCGGTTTCAGGGTCTAGAGTTTAGGGTTTAGGGTTGGAGGTAAATATAACTCAATTAGAAACCAGCATATTTAGGGTTTGGGGTTGGGGGTGCGCAGTAGCTTCCACAAATAAGCAGCATAGCATGGTACTTATGACAGGTACCCTCAAAGGGGGCCCCCTATTTTCTGGAAGCCCCTAGTTTTGTTGAACTTTTTGGAATGGTGTTATGTTTTCGTATGATGTTGCTTAGGTTTGAGGTTTGGGGTGGGGGAGTTCAGAGGCTCTGCTTTGGTTGCTTTTGGGTTTCAGGGTTTTTGGTTTTCAGGGTTTTAGGGTTTTAGGGTGTAGGGTTTAGGGTTTAGGCTGGGAGTTTGAGAGAGTTCCGGGGCTGGAGGAGTTGAGGTTCAGGGTTCACCGTTGGGGCTTTCTTGGTGGTGCCGCCTTCACTTGAAGCATGATTCCAATGATTTTGCTGGATGCGGTCGTTGCGGCCATCTATCGTCGTGCTTGTTACCTGCATTTTTGGTAAACTCCTTTTCTGCATGTTCTACCTTCGTGGTAGCTACATATTGTTCATGCTACAAACCCTGCATGACCTTACTATATATAGTTTCGTATTATAGTTACCCAATGTACAATGTACATGGTGCTATGCAGGATTTTTAGTATCCACTGTAGGGCCCCTTTCAGGATTTAGGAATTGCTAGGCCGTTGCTCTAAGACGTTGTTTCGCATATGGCCACCCTTGGCTAGGCTTGGTTTTAACACGTCCCGGGGCTCAACCCAAACCCCCTACCCCTACACCTTGAAACAAACCCTGGGAATCTAAGTATACAGAGAACACTTACATTGAACCCTAAGAAGAAGACCCACAACGACTTCAGGCATTCTTTTCAACATAGCAAGACCCCATATGAGCTCTAGTCTAAACTCCTTAAAGGGGGCTACATGGAGGGTTATATAGGGGACTATTATAGGGCTTATTAAGGGGATACTAGGAGTTTTTCACTATGGCTCATATCCTGGGAGGTTCCGACGCAGTCGACGATGCCAATGTCGTCCTGGCCCTCTGCATCCGCTTCTTTGTCCATACGCCCGGGCGGCAGATCTTAGGGATAATGGAAAAGAACATGGAAATGACTACAGTGGGGTTCTATGGGTTGTAATTGTTATGTAGGTTCAGAGTCTAGGGTTTAGGGCATATGAGCTACTGCCAAGAGACCCTTAACAGTGGACATAGGGGTCCCTCGTGTGGCGTAGTACAGTCCCTAATGTAGTCATATGTGGCGTACGGTGCATGGTTCAGGGCTTTGGGGCTCTAAGGTTTAGCCTGTCATGTCGGCTACGGAAGGAGTGTACAGGGAGCCGACAAGGAACGTGTTCTTTATAGAGTTTAGGGCCCAATGTAGGTACTGTTTATAGAGTTTACGGCCCAATGTAGGTATCATTTAAAGGCTTCAGGGCCCGATGTAGTTAGGTAGTAGTCAAAGACTTTAGGGCCCAAAGTAGGTAGTATCTATAGACTTTAGGGACCAATTTAGGTACCATGTTCAGAGTTTAGGGCCCAATGTAGGTAAAATGTATATGCTTGGATCCCCCTAAGTTCATGGCTTGGATGAGATTGTGGAAAGCCACTCTTTTTATCAACCTCCAAGGCTACATAGAAACCAATACTAGGTTGATGTTAAGGAACTTAATTTAAGCTACAATTTGGGGGAAGGCCTATTATTTACTCCATATGTATGTATATGCATAAATGCGTGTAACCATTATGGTAACCTAATTAAATTCCATAACAGCAACCCAGTATCCTAAACCCTAAACCCTAAACTCATGTTGGTGATTGCCAAGATTTCTGCATTACCCATAGTAATTTTGCAAACGATTGTGAGAGGCATTGTGCTTGAGGATTTCGGATATGTAGTTTTGCCTTGAACTGGTACTGTGCGCCGGGCCGTGGACTTCCACCTTCACCCCTCAACCTTAAACCGTTAAGCCTACATTCATGGGTTCCCCTACTGCCACCCCTTTATACTATCCCCCCAAGGTTCACTCCTGAATTAGGGCTATTTAGGGGAAATTAGGCTTAATGAATGTTACTTGAGGGGGAACCTAGGGGGGCTAGCATAGAGGGGGGTAGTGGGTGAACTCATGAGGGTTTTGTTCGTTTGATCCACACCGGGGACTGGCGAGGTTACGATTTTTCCTGGCACCAGTCCTTGACTTAGGGTCTTCTGTCACGCAGGGATCGTGCAGAGATGTTGCGGCTTTGTTGTGTAAAAGGTTTAGGGATTTAATCTGCCGGTCGTTTTTTACCAACCCAGACGTACATTCACACCTCTTACCTTGGGTGCGAATTTCAAGAGTCCCTATGTCGACCTCGATCACAAGTCTCCTTCGGGGAGCTCAAGAATTTTGCCGGTAGTAAATGTATATGGTTGTCTCCATCAACCGGGGGACCCAGTATAAACCCCAAACTAGTATACAGTATAATCCTGATTATTTGGCAGGACCCCAAAATAGCACAGCCTAGTCTTCGGAAACCCTAATCCAAATCAACCAATAGATACCCCCCGAATTCCGTGTCATGTTCCATGTTCTTTTCCATGTGATTTTCTATTATGGTGCCCTACACTTGCTCGAATTTCCCTATGCAACCTAATTTTGGGAAACTCCCCATGTAGAAACAGAGAAATCCTCACTGGCTTGGGCCTGAAGATCTTGTCACATTGCTTCAAGAGTTGAAAGATCCCAGTTGTTGAGGAACTTTCAAAACCAGGAAGCTCTTGTGAAGCTTCATAAGTCTTTCCTGAATCCCAAAGGGATGCCGAAGAATGACTTTTGAGGCAATTCTTAAGGGTTCTGGGCCTTTCTTTACACTTACTTTGGGGGGTTACATTCTGTCAATGCATCGTGTTCGGGCTTCAGAGGAGTCGTACAAAATTATGGATCACGCGCAGCGGGGCCTTGACGATGGGTTTAACGGTTCTTCAAGAACCCCACTAAGCCCTGAACCCCAAATACTCCCGAACCCCAAGCCCTATAGCTAGACCCTAAACCCTAGACCCTAAACTCCGTATATCCGTTTAGCCCATTTCTGGCGGATTCTTTTCCTAAGGGTCCAAGAATCGAAATAATAGGGTTTCAGGGCCCAAATACCATCAATATTATAGTATTTGGGCCCTAGAACCTTACTATTTGGGTCCTTAGACCCTAGCCCTAAACCCTTAACCCTGAACCCAACATCCTAAAACCCTAAAACCCTATTATTTGGGTCCTTGGACCCTTAACCCTAAACCCTTAACCCTGAATCCAACATCCTAAAACCCTAAACCCCTGTTATTTGGGTCCTTGGACCCTTAACCCTAAACCCTTAAACCTGAATCCAACATCCTAAATCCCTAAAACCCTGTTATTTGGGTCCTTGGACCCGTAACCCGAAGCCCTGAACCCTGAACCCAACATCCTAGAACCCTAAACCCTATTGTTTGGGTCCTTGTACCCTTACCTAAACCCCAACAGTATGTAAATAATAGCCCTGAATCCATACGAACAGCCACAAAGGCCAGTATTTTACATACTGTTGGGGTCTAGGTAGGGTTTTGAAGACAGGTCCCGGGTCTGCTTCCCGTGGTGGCAGCGTCGAGGCGACAGAGAGGGCGGTAGAAATGTGTAGGGTTTAGGGTTTAGGGTGTTGGGCTTATGGATATTTAGAGTTTTGGGTTTGGGCTGTGTGAGGTGCTTTGTAGTACTTGCCCTAAAACGGTCCCAGTACCAACAATGACAGCACCCTGATGTCAAGCCGGGAAACATTCTTGTCTTCAACTCAGCTGAGGGATGCCTGAATACGAACATCAATCTAGGGGCTTTAGGAGGGACCCTTAATGGGGACCCTTGTAGCTTATCGGGGGTAATAGGGGTAGTGCCTGGTTATATAAGGGGTATACAAGGCCTATGTAAGGGTTATATAAGGTATTGGGATTAGGATTAGGGGTCCCTTCTAGGGGTCCCTCCTAATAACGCTTGAATCAAGCTGTCCGACTTCGGGGTGTCGCAAAGGCTGCAGGATGAAGGCTATGCCGTGGTGATCGGATGTCACGTCTACTCCTTGCTGTTTCGCCCGTTTGAGCGCGTCACAGCCAATCTTCGATCGCTAAAGGCCACACAGGCTCGTGATACCTTTGCAGCCGGTGTCACGATTTTTGCGGTGGCCAGCCATCACCAGTTGTGTAATCCAGATATGTACAGTCTTCTGAAGACTAAGAAGCACGATTCTGTTGTATCAAAGTTCCGGGCTTTAAGCACCCAATACCCAATGGCTTTGGGTACCCTAAACCCTCCCTAAACCCGTATTTGAGAACTTGGGCCCCTAGGCCCAGGGATAGACAAGGTTTAGGGTTTAGGGTTCAGGGTGTAGGCATAGGTAGGGGGTTATAGGGATACATTGGATGTTTACACGGATAGGTTCAGGCTTATAGAGGCAAAGATATGCCGGATATCATCCGGATATCACGGTTTGACATAATGGGACAGATCAAGGTTTCTAGGGATACTTAGGGTTTACGGATTTGGGCACAAAAAGGTTAAACGCTTTAGGAGGTGAAGGGTCAGGTTTGTTGATGTCTTTCTTGGTTTAGGGTTTAGGGCTTTGAGGGCTCTTGGTTAAGGTAAGAGTTTTGGTATTCCACACCCAGGGCTCACTCATTCTAAAACTTTAAATGAATACAACGCAGAGACTGATTCGACTCGGTTGTAATAGGGAGATTGTTGCCAGCGGTTTAGGGCTAAGGGTCTAGGGAGAAAATCCCAAGTTAGCATTGCAAGTCGGGTAGGTATGATTGTTTTAGATGCAGCCTGATTTTGGTTTCACGCGGACCTGCAAGTGAGGGCAATCTGAATTGGCTCATGAGCCCTGACTTCCACAGAGGACGGGCGAGCCCTAAACCCTACCTGGTCCCCCAAAGTATGTAGAATAATTGCCTTTGGGGCTATATTTAGGGGTTTTGGGCTATTATTTTACCTACTTTTGGGGTCCAGGTAAACCCTGAAACCCACTTCCTCGTCCGCGCGGGTAGCTGTAAGGATTCGACACGTCCCCGGCTTGCATGCAGCAAGCTCGTAAAGTTTCCTCCCGCCAGGCCGAGCTTTAACGTGAGGCTGAGACACTGCAAACTCTAAACGTCCGCAAACGCTTGCACAAAGGCTCCAATTCTTTGGTGCTAGAATATGACCATACACCAGAAAGCCATTAAACAAAAAAATAAACTACATTTGAGTCTCTGGTTAACCCTAAACCCTCAGCCCTGCGCTTGACCCTCTTGACGTGTAAGCTCGGAAGTTTTTCCCCTAAGGGGCCAAGGACCCAAAGAATAAGGTTTTAGGGCCCAAGCACCATTGATATTAATGGAATTTGGGCCCTAAAGCTCTATTATTCGGGTCCTTGGACTCTTAACCCTAAACCCTAAAACCCTATTGTTTGGGTCCTTGGATCTTAGGGTACCCTTTTTCTCCCCACGCTGGCGAGGAGCGCTTGCAGCACATGGAAGAACTTATGATCAGGCAGGTCTTTTTTTAAGACATGACGCCTTCTTAATGGTTAGGGTTTAGGCTTTGCGGTTCAGGGTTTAGGGGTCAAAGCTGAGAAAATAGGGCTGGGGGTTAGGTCTTAGTGAAATTCGCGGTGGTTACTGTCTTGTGTGGGGGATTAGGGAAGATTGGCGGGTGTCTGTAGGGGGTGTGCAGTGCATATTCCAATCCTAATGCCTGGCCTCAAACTGACTTAATGTTCCACAAATACTACCCTTGTACTTTATCATGGGAAGTATGTGTTATTAGGGCGTGGGGAGGCTACATTATGAGTAGTATGATTGTTATGGGGAGGAGTTCAACGTATCTTTTGGTTCTTGGAGGAAGGAAGTACAAGGTTTGTGTTAGGGGGGTACTGTTTAGAGGTTTGCCTGGACCCCCCAAGTAAGTGTGTACAACAGGGGCCCGAAATTGACAAACATGGCCCCTAAACCCTAAACCTAAACCCTTTCTTCTACAAACTTACGGAGTCCAGGTGGTGGCTTTTGAGGGAGCAGGTCTTCAGAGAGCCAACCAGGATGGCAATCGTGACGCCTGGCCCGCAAACCCTAAATCCCCTAGAACCTGAATAAAACCTAAACCCATACTTCTCAAACTGGAAATTCTGAAGCCTAGCTGCAACCGCAACTACCTACAGATTTGTAGTTATCTACTCCTTGATTAGTAGGCATAACCCGGTTATTGGGGTTACAGGTAGATCCAAGACCCTAAGCCTACAATCTGAAGTCCAAAAACATACACCCTGAGCCTCTTTCAAGACTGTGTTGTGTCATCCCGCTTTTGCACATAGATACGTGGAACCTTCAATTGCACCCTGCACCTACACCCCGTTCCCCCATATCTATTCCTAGGGGGATAGTCTAAATCCTAAACACTAGAAAAAGGTGGAGAAAAAAAGAAGAAAAAAAACATTCGCAAGTCCTTGAACTGGCGTATCCAGATCCCTCAGCGGGGTTCATGGAGGCTGTTCCCAATGAATGACTACCTGAACCCCAAAAGTATGTAGAATAATGGAATTAAGGGGTAATTGCTATTCATCTGTACGTAATTGCGGCTACAGGAAAAGCATGTAGGCTAATAGTTTGTTTGACTTCATTTTATGATTTGGGGGGGCTAGTATCTTACCTACTTTTGGGGTCCAGGTATATACTGCATATTTGCGAAAATATCTTGCTAGGAGAGGGTTGATGGGAGTTATGAAGCAGGCTATTCTCAATGATCTGTTCTATATTTAGCGACATTCATGTAAATAGGGTGGTGCGGGAGTCATTCAAGGTAGGGAAATCGGGAAAGGGCTGACGGTCGCCAACATTATGCCTCTATCGTTATGATATGAGCAAAAGTGTGAACTCCTTAAACGGGCTTATCCAGGGGAGTCTATTGGGGAGTATTGTAGGGGTTATTGAGGGGGATACTTAGACGAAATCACATCTGAGTAGTTCCCCAAATTAGAGTCCATTTTGGTACCCCTGAACAAAAGGTGCCGTGATATAATCTATAGCCAAAAGAGGCCCATAATTTTGAGAGCAACCCATACAAGTCCGTGTTCCCACTTTGATCTGCTTGGCTTGGATATCCCTGAGTTTTGCAAAAAGACGATTGGTGCCCTGTGCACAACACTGGCATGCACTTAAACCCCCCCCCCCCTTTCCGCCACTATCCGAGATCGGTTTGTTGTGAAACATCTTCGACTTTCAAGAACTGAGAAGTACTTGCTTCATGGAAAACACTAGGAGCCTTCGATTAGTCCGATCATGCGTAAAGAGTAGCAGTCTATGGGCGATGGAATTTCGAGCAGGAACTTCGTGATGATGATTGCAGCAAAGTTTAAGCCGCTACGTTCAACCACCCCGTAGACCGAAACCGACACTTTGTTGACCTGCTCAAACCCTACACCCCAAACCCCAAACCCTAAACCCCAAAGACCTAA